TTTTTCAGAGAGAATCCTTTCTTTATCAGGAAATTTCCAGAGACTCGGAGCACATTGTCTTTCCATACAAACGAGTTACATAACCGCATCCCGTATGCTGGAAAAAAAACAACTCGCCAAATTCGCAATATAACTTCGTTATAATTTTAGCAAAATTATACCCTTCTTCTTCCACACAACACAAATTATCTTTCAAGAATAGTGATACATAATGAAAATTGTATATATTACGAATACACATTCCTATAAATGTCAAATATATTCTAAATATTGCATCCAATCAAAATATCGCTCTACCATTGTGCGACAAAAACATCATGCGTACAGTACCGCGTCTAGAAAGCCACCATCTGTGAACTGGGCCTGGGATCTGTTCTATGGGCTTAATCTGATACACTTGGCCACGAAGACTGTTATTACTGCTCGAATTACTTTATCCTATTCAAACTTAAGATTATGCAAATTATTCAACAACCTATATTGTGTCATCATTGGCAAGAACAATTGTGAAACCCAGTGGTGGAATATATTAAGAGAGGTAGTTGAATAATCAACACCAAAATTACACTAGACGGAATGACTAGTGACAACTGTGTACTATGCATCGTTGTCACATTATGGAATATGACTGAAAGATGGTTGGTCTTTTTGTTCTGAAACATTTGCTGCATGTGTCGCAATCGAATGAGTGTACTTCATGGAGATGTTTTACGTGGGCACGGTGACCTATCGACATCCTTAATATATGGCAACACTGCGCCATTTAGATATCATTTCACCTTTGTTATGGGCGTTTTGTTCAGGAATGAAAGAAACATTAATTATATGATCAATATTTTTTTTATTTTGTTACCTAATGCCTAATGACCTTATGTATTCAATAAAATACAGATTCGATAAACGATATCAACGCATATTGTGATAAAATGTTTCAATTTGATTTGAGGCTATGACGTTTAGTTTAGTTATTTGCATAATGATATTGATACATTGTATGGAACATTTCGTGAGTATTTAGACTCAGTTCCAGGCCTAGCAGTTGAGCATTAAACATCTTAGTTACAAGTGCTCCTCTTCAGTGTGTTATTCTTCTCCCAGATTTAGTGACCAATACTCACTTGATTCTCTCTATCTTGAGAAGTATGTTCTCAGTTTACAGTTGTATGCTAATTTAATGATTTTATTGTATCTCCAAAGGTGAATCAAGTCGTA